AATGATATCGTTTTATTAATTTCTTTTTAAGACAGTTTGTTGTTAGTGCAGAGAAGTGCTGTTGATTTTGCACATTGGCATTGTATCCTGTAACTCTACTGAATTTGCTTATCAGTCCTGATTTTTGTATACTTATTTTATAGTCCAGAATATGTTTTTTATCTTAGCAATTGTTCTGTGTACACTAAAAAATGGTATTCAGATCTCATTGTATGAAGTGCTCTATAAATATCTTTTAGGTCAGGTTGATAGTCTGTGAAAATCTTCCAAATACCTTACTGATTTTCTGTCTCTGTGTTCTAGTAATTATTAAGAGTGGGGCATTAAAGCCTCTGGCTACAGTGGGTTGTCTATCTCTCCTTGGAATTCTATCAGTTTTGACATCATATATTTTGAAATTTTGTCATTAGGTATATTAGCATTTAGTTTTATTGTTTCAGGTCTTACAATTAAGTTGATTCTTCTATAAGGAGCAAGACAAAAGTCTATTTTTATTCTTCTGTTTGTGAATATACAATTATAGCATTTATTGAAGAGACTGTTCTTTCCCCCATTATGTGTTCTTGGTATTTTGTTTGAAAACATTAATTGTTTTAATAATTAATCCTAAAATTTGTATGGAACCATAAGAGACTCTGAAAAGCCAAAGCAATCTGGACCAAAAAGAACAAAGCTGGAGGTAAAACACTACTGGATTATACTCTCTTCATGAACTGACCCCTTCATCGTTCTGTAATAAGCTTCTTTACTTCTAGTATTATTCATGTTCGGAAATCTACTTTGTCCGATGGTAGCATAGCCACTCCAGTTTTCTTTGGATCCCTAGTGTTACCCTTTTACAGCTACCACCACGTTCTCCTCACCCTTCTCCCTAACATTTGGCAGCCACTGATCTGCTCTTCAGCTCTATAATTTTGTCATTTCAAGAATGTTCTGACCAAATGCAGTGGCTCACACTGAGGTCAGGATTTCGAGATCAGCCTGGCCAACATGGCTATGATTTTTAGTGGAGACTTTAGTAGTCTCCACTAAAAATACAAAAATTAGCTGAGCATGGTGGCGTGTGCCTGTAATCCCAGCTACTTGGGAGGCTGCGGCATGAGAATCACTTGAACCCAGGGGTTGGAGGTTGCAGTGAGCTGAGATTGTGCAATTGCACTCCCGCCTGGGTGACAGAGCAAGAATCTGTCTCAAAAAAACAACAAAAAAAGGATTCTGTAAACTAATTGCTCATTCACATGAGCCAACAGGAAATAAACACTTCTGCTTGTTGGGTAAAGTGTTCTGTCAATGTCTGTTAGGTCTAGTGTTGTTCAAGTCTTCTATTTCCTATTGATCTTCAGTTATTTTGTTGTACGTATTATTAAAAGTTGAGTATTGAAATCTCAAAAAAAAAAAAAAAAAGAAAATAAACACGATAATGTGAAACAATGGTTTGTAAGACACTGATACCAGGCAATGAACAGTGGCCACTGGGAGACAGGAAACTAATAGGACTAATAAACTAATCATACAGTACATGACCTTTGGAGACTTTTTTTTTTTTTAGTCAGCATAATTCTACTGAGTGCCATCCAAGCTGTCACATTTGTATTTCTGAGTACTATTTTGTGGTACGTATACCCCATAGTTTGTTTAAATATTCACCCTTTGAAGAAAATTTGCAGTGTTTCTGGTTTTTGGCTATTCCAAATAAAGCTGCTATGAATATTTGTGTACAGGCTATTTTGTGGACATAAATTTTTATTTCTCTGGGACAAATGCCCAAGAGTGCAATTGCTGAGTCACATGGAACGTGAATATATATTTAGTTGAAAAATAAACTGCAGAGTTATTTCTGAGAGTGACAATTTAATATTTCCACCACACAGGGCTGTGGAAAAGTTCCAGCTTCTCCACACATCAGAAAGCCTTCACCCTTGTGTTAAGCAATTTGGTTATGATGTGTCTTGGTACAGTTTTATTCCTATTTCTTGTGCTTGTTGTTCATTCAGCTTCCTGGATTTGTAGTTTTATAGTTTTTGTCATTGTAGTTTTTGTCAAATTTGCAACATTTTCTGCCATTATTTATTTAAATATTCAAATACTTTTTTCTCTCCCTTCCACAGTCTCCTCTTCGTCATGGATTCCAATAATGCACGTGTTACATTGCTTTAAACCATCCCACTGATGCTGATTATTTTCTTTATTTCCTTTTTGTTGTTGTTGTTGAGATGGAGTCTCCCTCGTCACCCAGGCGGGAGTGCAGTGGCACAATCTGGGCTCACCACAACCTCCACCTCCCAGGTTCAAGCAATTCTCCTGCCTCAGCCTCCTGAGTAGCGGAGACTACAGGCGTCTGCCATCATGCCCGGCTAATTTTTGTATTTTTAGTAGGGATGGAGTGTCAACACGTTGGCCAGGCTGGTCTTGAAATCCTGACCTCATGATCCACCTGCCTCAGCCTCCCAAAGTGCTGGGATTACAGGTGTGAGCCACCACACCTAGCTTATTTCCTTTTTCTTAGTTTCCTTTTCATGTTTCATTTTGGATTGTTCTTTTTGTTGTCTCCAAGCTTCTCCATTGTATTTTTCATCTTGCACATTATAGTTTTCATCTCAGTGAGTTCTATTTCACTTTTATGTCTTCATGTTTATTCTTAACCGACATGTAGAATACAGTTTTAACAGCTACTTTAATGTCATGTCTACCTTCTCAACTCTGGCTACCTCTGCGGACTCTCAGCTCTGTCTCCTAAATGAGCAGAGTCTGCTGGACTCTGCCTTAGCTGCCCCTCTCTGAGCCAAGGCCTCGAACTTTCTCAGGGCAGTAAGCTTTGGCAACCAGAGGACTCACTTTATTAGTTTCCTGTCTTGCAGTGGCCACTGTTCTTCGTTACCTGATATCAATGTCTTGCAAACCATTGTTTCACATTATCTTATTTATTTTTGTTTGGCTCACATGAATGGGCAAGTCCTTTGTCTGTTGGAAGTGATATTCTGCTAAACTAGTTTTATTTATATGCATATGCTTACCAGTTTCTTTGATCACTAATTTTTTTCCTTACAATTCATCCATTCCTTCTGGGTTCAATAGTGATGTATATTCCTGAGGTGGAAACCTCATTTTTCTTGTGTGTGCTTATTCTCACACATGCAGCATTTTCTCCTCCTCCGTGTTTTGTAATTTTGGTTTGAATTACATCTTTCTTCAAGCTTATTTTTGAATGATATTCATTTTCTATTGTTGCATAACATCACAAACCTATCCTTTTGAAACCACACAAATTTATTTTCTTGCATTTTCCATTGCTCAGGAGTTCCGGATAGCATGGCTGAGTTCTTTGTTTAAAGTCCCACATGGCTGAAATTATGGTGTCAGCGGAAGCTGCTACCTCATCTGAAGTCATGGTCCTTGTCCAGGCTGTTGGCAGAATCCAGTCCTTGTAGCTGTAGGTGTGTCAGCCCTGTGATTTACTGCTGTTCACTGGGACTTCCCTCAGCCCCTAGAAGCTGCCTGCCTTTTCCTGCCCTATTGCCCCCTCCACAACATGGGAGTTTCTCTTTCAAGGACAGCAGAAATGTCTCTGCTGCTTAGAATGTCTGATTTTCCTCTGCCTCTGAACCAGGTGTATTGCCCTTATGTTATTAGGATAAGCCCACAGGAAAATCTTCTTTTTGACTAACTCAAAGTCAACTGATTAGTCTTCTTAGTTACACTGGCAAAACCCCATTTGCCATATAATGTCACATAATCATGGGGTGATATTTCATAATAACAGATTCTGTTCACATTCATAGGGAGGGAAATACACAAAGTGTGTACATCAGGGGATGTGAACCTTGAGGGCCATCTTTGAATTTTGCCTACCACATTTCACCTTCTGGACCCCAGTGCCATATATATTTTTTTTTTTTTTAGACAGAGTCGCACTCTGTCACCTAAGCTGGCATGCAGTAGAACAATCTTGGCTCACTGCAAACTCTGCCTCCTAGGTTCAAGCAATTATCTTGCCTCAGCCTCCCGAGTAGCTGAAATTATAGATATGTGCCACCATGTCTGGCTAATTTTTATATATTTAGTAGAGACAGGGTTTCACCATGTTGGCCAGGCTAGTCTTGAACTCCTGACCTCAAGTGATTCACCCGCCTTGGCCTCCCAAGGTGCTGAGATTACAGGTGTGAGGCCACTGTGCTTGGCCTAGACCCCAATAATTTACATCCCTTCCAAACATTCCCTAGAGTCTAATCCCATTCAGACATCATTCTAAGTTTGAGATCTCATCAGGTAAATCGGGCCCAGGTTTGGATGAGGCCTGATCCTGGGAATAATTTTTTGAGACACATTTCCTCTCCATCCAAGAGAGAGATGATCTCCCCAACACTCCCAGTATATGAAGGTGGGACTGACATAGAGTGACAGTTATAGATGTTCCAGTTTAGAAAGAAGAAAAATGGAAGGTGAAACAGAAGGGAGTCACTGTTCCAAGGCAGTTTTGAAATCTAGTTGTAGGACTTCCAGCCAGAGATCCTTGATTAGGTTTCCATGCCTGGGACTTATCCTTCTTTGCTCCTTGGTTATGTTGCTCATCCTTTGGGCTCTTGTTGGTTCTGCTCTCTGAGCTCTGAGTCATTCTTCCTTTTCATTAAAGGTAGCAGCATTTGCAGCTGAAGTTTCATCAACCCACCTCCTGCTACTGGAATCCTAATGGTCTGACCGTCTCTTTAATTTTGGAATCTCTCTGTTCCTTTTTGTCCAAGTTGGCGGCATTTCTTCCCAAGCAATTGTAGTCAAGAACCTTGTGTGCTCTGCATGAATTGCACTGGGATTCAGACCATTAAGCAAAGGCCATGCCCACAGATCTCTTTTTAGTGTATACTATTTTATTGCAATTGTACATATGTATGGAGTACAGTCTGATGTTTTGATAAACACTTATTCTATAATGATCAAATCAGCGTATTTAGCATAGCCATCACCTCATGCGTTTATCATTTGTCTGTGGTAAGAACATTAAAAATTACCTCTTCTAGCTGTTTTATAATGCACAGTACTGTACTGGTAATCCTCATCACTCTACAGTGCAATAGAACACCAGGACTTATTCCTCCTACCTAATTGTAACTTTATATCCATTGACTAAACTCCTCATCCTCCCTTCTACCCTTGTCCTCCCCAGTCTCTGGTAACCAGTGTTCTCCCTCTGCCTCTGTGAGGTCAACTTTTTTTTTTTTTTTTTTTTAAAGATTCCACATGTGTGGTGTTACATGGTTTTTATTTGTCTTTCTGTGTCTGGCTTATTTCACTTGAGATGATGTCCTCTGGGTACATCCATGTCGTTGCAAATGACAGGATTTCATCTTTTTTCATGGCTGTTAGTACTTCATTGTGTGTATATCCTGCATTTTCTTTATCCATTTGTCTGCTGACGCTTGGGTTGATTCCATATCTTGGAAGACAAACAAATGACCAACAGATAGAGGAAAAAATACTCAACATTCATCAGGGAAATGCAAATCAAAACCATAATGAGATACCACCTGATTCCAGTTAGAACAGCTGTTATCAAAAAGACATAGGAAACAGGTGTTGTCAGGGTGTAGCGAAATGGGAACCCTTATGCACTACTGGTGGGAATGTAAATTGGCACAGCCCCTGTGAAGCAGCATGGAGATTCCTCAAAAAATAAAAATAGAATTACCATATGATCCAGCAATTCCACTATTGGGAATATAAACCAAAGGAAATGAAACCAGTGTGTCAAAGAAATATCAGCACTTGTACGTTTACTGCAACACAGATCTTTTTGAAATAATCCCTTTGCTATGTTTGATGCAGCTGAGGGCCAGATGCTAGAGGGCTGTGGTCCTCCAGTTTGATTGAGAAGACCTGTGAGGCACACATGCTATCTCTTGAAAGAGCCCTTTGTGTGACTGAATTCTCTGCCCCTTTGATCCTTCTGAGGTTTTAGCAAAAGGTTGTACAGTCATGCCCTTGCCTTCTTTTCTCTGCCATGATTTTGAAAGCAATCTCCTAATTTTATTGTCCGTAGCTATATGGATGGGCTGACAATTCCCCAAATCATCCAGTCCAGTTGCTTTTTGTTTAATAGCGCTGTTCTCAAGTGCCCTCTCTCCTCTCATATTTTACTATACACAGCAACAATAAACTCAGCTGCAACTTCAACACTTTGCTGGGAAAGCTCCTCAGCAATTCATTCAAGTCACTTATAACTTCTGCTTTCTGCCTAACTGGCAGGGCACAATTTTGCTAAGTTTCTGCCAATAAACAGCAAAGATTCCCCTGCTTTCAGTTTCCAATAACATGTCCCTCATCTTCTGAGGTCTCACCACTAGGGTCCTCCAAGTACAGTTTTCTACTGACAGTCCGTTTGCTGCACTTCAGGCTTTTTCTGTCACGCTCCTCAGCATTCTTCTAGCCTCTGCCTGCTGTCGGCTTCCACGGTCACAGCCACATTTTTAGGTATTTGTTGCTGTACACCCCACTTTTAGGTACAAAATGTGTATTGGTGATAACAAATGACCACAAACGTGGAGGCTGGAGCAGGGCTGTCCATCTCGCAGCTCTGTAGGGGAGAGGGGTGAGGTGGTGTGTCTGCGCACTCTGCTCAGTCTCACCAGGCTGAAATCGGGGTGCCGGCTGAGTTTGCATCTGCAGGCTCCGGGGAAGAATACGCTTCGAAGCTCATTCAGGTTGCCCTGCAGTCCTGGTTGCAGGGCCGAGGTCCCCACCTCCTCACTGCCTGCCAGCTGGAGGCTCCCCAGCGTCTGCAGGCTGCCCACGTGGCTGGTCAATGGCTCTCTCCTCCTTCAACACCAACAATGGAGAATTTCTCCAGGATGGAGTCTCTCTCTTTTTAAATCCCTTCTGCAGGGAAGAACCCTATTCTTTGATAAGGGATCTACCTAGGACAACTTTTTCTAAACTCAATTGATTAGGGACATTGGTTATATCTGAAAAGTCTCTTCAGGGCAGCATGTGGATGAGCGCCTGACTGAGTAACTAGGAGAAGGCGTGAACACACACAGGGCCCGGAATCTCCGGGGTGTCTTAGAGTTCTGCCTGCCACAGGGATTCTGAAAAGGCTGGGGTGAGGGTGTGTTTGTCTGGAGAAATTATCCCTTGTTTCTGTGGTAGTTTCTAGGAATATAATATTTTGGGGACACTTTCAGGTTGACTTCTTGGCTTAAATAGTATAAATTTCAAGTTCAAACCTGCATAAAAGCAGGGAAATGATTAGAAATTGTCAAGGGAATGTTTAGGCCAATATAACAAAATTTCGTGTTGTCATTTGATACGTGCAGGTAAATATTTTTCCAGTAATTTGTCTTTTGTTTCTGAGGCAGTGACCCCTGGAGAGTCCTAACCTCACACGGTGGTTCTCAGCCCACCCTCTCAATCGCCCTGTCTATTCCTGTTGGTCGAAACCTAATCTTCCGAGCTAGGGCCACTGTCCCCCACGTGTGCTGTTCCTGGTCCTGGGTGCAGGGCATCATGTTACAAGCTGTCCATTCAGTTTTCAGCGACTGCTTTCATTTCTGAGGATTCCCTTACTTTTCGTTTAAGTTCACATTGCCTACAAATATGTCTTACTGCATGCTACCCAGGGCTGCTTTTTGATTGCAGTGGGAGGCAAGTTCTCTCTTCTGCTGCACGGATGGGGGTGGAGGCCTTGTTCTCTCTGCCTGTGGTTTGAGGCCCCATCATTTCTCCAAGCCTGGAGGCAGCAGTCCCTCAGCGCCCTGTCCTGACGGCCTGTTCTAACCCATGGCCTGCCCTAACCCACTTCCAGACACCTGGCAAAATCACCTTTGTTAAATGTAAATCGAATCACAAAACCTCCTGGCTTAAAGATGCTGAGCGACACCTATTTCTATGCAGTCTCTGGCCTGGCTGTCCTAACCTCTGAGCCAGCAGGGTCCTGCCTGCACCGGGCACCCTCTGCCTCTCCCAGCCGGAGCCCAACCCAAGACTGCTCAAGGATATTTGCTGGCGGTTTGCTCCCAGGGAGTGCTCCTCTGCTAGCTGTGGGAAGGGGTGGGGGTGGAAGGTGGGGGTGGGAGGAGATGGGGGTGTGGGGGGGAGATGGGCAGTGGGGAAGTGAGATGGGCAGTGGGGCCCTCTTTTGGTTCTCAGGCGTCGTCCCAGGGAGCATACCTGACCTCCACGGAGCTCAGCTCTTTTCCCCATCCCCCACTTTATGGCTGTGCACATGACTTTCAGAGTGGGGGCTCCCTGCAGCCGGCCCACCCGCCCACGCTCCCCCTAGCTACGCTCCCCCACCTCCCACACCTCCCGCACTTCTTGTGACAGCACAGGCCAGGGTCAGGCCCAGGGGCACCCGGGCCCAGCAGGCAGCAGTGGAGGCTGAGCCCAGGCCTGCTGGCGACACCAGAGGGGTTCAGGAGGCCAAGGCAAGCCCCAGGCAGTCCTTAAGGTGCAGGACTTTTGTGCCAGGCACAGCAGAAAAGTGGCCAGCCACAGATCCAAGCCCACCAGATTAGAATCTAGAGACATTTTTGAATTAAATCATCCCTGCTTTAAATATTATATATATTTAAATACTGTCAACTCTATTGTTTCCTTGCACTTTCATTTTAGGTTCAGGGGTACCGTGCAGATTCATTACATGGGTAAATTGCATGTCTCTGGGGTCTGGTGTACAGATGATTTCATCACACCCGTGGTGAACATAGCCCCTCACAGGTAGTGTTTTGATCTTCTTGTTTCTCCCAGCCCCAACCCTCACGTAGGTCCCAGCCCGTTGTTCCCCTCCTGTGTCCATGTGTGCTCATGCTTACCACTCACTTAGAAGTGAGAACATGCAGTATTTGGTTTTCTGTTCCTGCATAGATTCAATTAGGATAATGGCCTCCAGCTGCATCCATGTTGCTGCAAAGGACATGATTTCATTCTTTGTTTTTTTGAGATGGAGTCTCGCTCTTATTGCCCAGGCTGGAGTGCAGTGATATGATCTCAGCTCACAGTGACCTCTGTCTCCCAGGTTCAAGCGATTCTTCTGCTTCAGCCTCCCTAGTAGCTGGGATTACAGGTACCCGCCACCACGTCCAGCTAACTTTTGTGTTTTTAGTAGAGACGTGGTTTTACCACGTTGGCCAGGCTGGTCTCAAACCCCTGACTTCAGGGGATCCACCTACTTCAGCCTCCCAAAATGCTGGGATTACAGGCATGAGCCACCACACCTGGTCGATTTCATTCTTTTTGTATTATTTTTAATTGGCACATTGTAATTGTACATATTTATAGGGTACAGTATGATATTTCAATACATGTGTTCAATGTAATGATCAAATCAGGGTGGTTAGCATATCCATCGCTAAGAACATGTATCACTTCTTTTTGTTGGGAACATGAAAAGTCCACTCTTCCAGCTACTTGAAAATATGTGATAAATTGATGCTAATGACAGTCCCTATGGCGCTATAGGACACAGGAACTTCCTCCTCCTAGCTGGCTGTCCAGCTGTCTCTGTTAACCAGCCTGTGGCGCTCCCCTAATGCAGGCCTCATCCTTCTAACATTAAGCCCAATTGTTGTCACAGTGTGGGGAGAAAGGCTTGGGATGACCAACCATGGGGGCGGGTGGCGGTGGCCAGCTGAGGTCAGCCCTGGAGGCGCTTCAGCCTGCGAGCTGCCCACGGGGACAGACAGATGCGTGTGCCTACCTCACGCTAGTGCTGGAGTTCATTTATTCTTTATGTGTCCAAAGAACAACTTGACATAGATCAAGCCGTAGATCAGTGGATGGATGGCAGCCTTGTGGCCTGGGTTCCTCCAGTGCCTGTGGGGCAGCATCTCTAAAACCGCCCCAACAGTTGGGCCTTTCAGGTGCCAAGCTGTCCTGGATCTTTTACACGGACTCTTTCATGGACCAGACTGGGGCTTCCCAAATTGCAGTCTGGAGCCCTTTCCACCAACACTGCAGGCCCAGGAATGAAGGACACTGGTGGACACGTTGCTTATAACCCTCACTGCAGCCTCCAGCATCCCTC